TGCCGCACTCGTGGCTTGAGCAGTCACTGGAACGGGCTGAAAAGTCACAGGAGGAGAAAGGAGCAACAAGCTGCAGCTGTGCATTTGCCGGCCCAAGGGCCTCCGTGGAGCTGGAAGCACCGAAATCTTCGCCTCAGAAAGAAAGTCTTGTGCCTCAGCCTGTTTTAAGACATGGAAGCAGGCATACCAGTTCGGTTTTGTGAAACACTGTGGTACTCCCATCTGATAAAATCTGTTTATTGCAAATCTTGCACCTACGTTGTTAGGGTCTTTTCATACTTCTGCCTGCTCTTCAGTTTTCACTGGAATTAAGTTACGCCTTCCTGTTGGCGAGGTGATGTCATGAAATGGAACGTTGGACCCAAATCCACACCAAAAAAAAAAAAGCTGATAAGAATTCTCTGTCAGCGTCAGGAAAACAAATTCTTTTGTATCTTGTCTTGAACCAACAGAAATACAAATGTCATACCCCATATGTGAGCACCTAAATGCTGATTTTTCTATTATTTAAACAGTGGGAACAGAGCACATTAACTACTAGGCTTTTTATTACGGAGACATTGCAGTGACATTAAATGCACCAGCACAGTTATCACCTACAGAAATTTACACATAAAGAAATGCCAGAATTAAAGCCACAGTAGAGTATTAACTCAGCTAAATCACTCTATACATTTATATAGGTTCCTGTAGATTAAACAATATTAAATTTTACAGCATAAGCAGAATTAAATAGGGGTGTATAGATGTATACACATTGAGTCACACTAGAGGTGAGAATAATAGCTGCTGGAGAGAGATCTGCAGTGAATAGTTTTAATGGTATTAATTCATACTTCTTGTGCGGACAAGGCCAAATTAATGCTGCTGTTGCAAGCAGAAGAGCCTTTTAGGTTTTCTGCCTTTTTTCTTGATAATGTAAAGCTTTCAGTTAATCTGAAACATGTCTGGCTCATAGGCATAATGATAATACACATTAAGAATTTAATGATGTCATAATGCTACATCTAACAAATTATTTTCCCAGTAAATATACAGTAAGTCAAATCCACTAGTAAAAAATACCTGTGTCTACACTAATGCATCCCAGATGTGACCGTCTCACCAAGTATTTACAGCCTGTTGGTGCTGTGTGACTCAGGTAAAGGTGTTTCATTCATCAAAGTCTCAACTACAAGTGTAACACAGCATTTTGTTCATCTTCTTTATTATTTCAACGTGTTTCATGGAACTTGCCTTACACTATGTGGACTGGAGCATCAAGCACAAGAATATCTTTTATTTGTTTTATTACCTCTTTTAAAAGTATAAATGGATATGCTGCTTCTAAACAAAAGCATTCTTGAATCTAAATTTTTTTCAAAATTCAGGGACAGGTGGACTCTAGCATACAGAAAAGGAATAGTTTTACAGTTTGATAAACCTGGTTTTTTTTGACGTTGTAACTGAAATCAGGATGGTACTACCATGTGAGGTTTTTTGTTGTTGTTTTGGGTTTTTTTTCTCTGTAGTAAGCCTTCTGGCTTGTGAAATCCAAAATTTTTGATTAATAAAATTCAGTCACTTGTTTCTGATTAAAACAAAATAAAAATTGCTAGCTTATTAATGTTATGCAAAATCTCAGAATTAAAGCTCACGACTCATTTGTGATTCATGATGCTTAAACAATGTAACAGTGTATTTAATGGTAATAATATACGATACGAGATTCACTGTGATTTTTCTGCCAAGGGAGTCAGTGGTGATATACTGAAAAAAGAAGTGGACAGTGGAGTCAAAGAATCAGTGATACATGTATCAAATGTTTTGTTCTTTTTGTATATAACACAGTTCAAACGGCAGAATATGTCTGGCATTCTTTTAGATAGCTACCAAATGTCCATTCAAGTTCTCAGTCAGATTAAGCGGAAACATATTTACTGATACATAATTTCTCCCGAGAATGTCAGTGCCATCTTTGGCCTATGGTTAGTAGAATATATTGTAATACTGTAAATTTTTATACTATTTATATTGTTATACTGTAAATTTTGTCATCTACTTTTATTCAATTTAAATAGTATCGGCTGTGTTTTTATGCCCGTCTTTTCCAAATATGGGGAGTTACTTACGCAATGTGTTTTCCTTTTCAGTCAGAAGAGTAGTGTAGAAGTTTATATACTGAGGTCTAAGCCACCCTTTCATTACAGAGGAAGAGATAAAGAGACTGTTTAAAAGTTACCAAGCTAATATTCAGAGGGCTACACAACTTTTCTATCTCTGTGAAAGAGCTGGTTAAAGTTGAATGATACAGCTAGTCTTAAATATAGGTCTTGTTTACTTCACAATGTTCAGTAATTATCTCAGCATTGACTGACACGATTGGCGGGTTAACTCACGCTATATTTGAAGATCAGTGGGGGCACGTCTGCTGCTGCCATTACTCGACAGCGACAGTTGTCTAGACAGAGAGAAAGGCTTTGGACTATCACAGTTTCTACTTTGTCTAGATTCTAAGCTCACCTCCACTGTAGAGTCGGGAGTGTCAACATCGTAAGGGGGTTGGGATTTGCCTGCACTGAAAATGCTCTGTCTTCTGCTGCTGTTCTTTGGAAGAGAATTTGTCAAAGCTCCTGCACTCTCAACCACTGCTGAGCAGTTGTGAGACGAATCGATTCCACGTTGTCTTTTAAAACTGATAACAGGAAAAGTTGTATCAGGTTGCACTGAAGTTTGAGAAGGCATTTCAGCAAAGCTTCGCAAGCGTGTGCTTGAAGCTGTATCTTCATTCTGAGTAACAACAAGGAAATGCTTCTTTTCGGATTCTTTCCGCTCATCATGCGCTTCAGTCCCAAGCTCCCGAAACAAGCGTTCATTATTCATGCTAGTATTTTGGGTCTGACTGTCTAAAGCATTTGTAGCCTGCCTCTTTTTTGGTGATTTAATTACCTGAATGTGATGGGTGTAATTGTTGCTGCTTTCTGCATGGTTATTTTGCACAGATTGAAATATGGCAGAAGAATTTAGATCTGGGTAGACAGCAGCATCAGTCTGCTTTTCCACTAAAAAGGTATAACCACTAAGTGCAGAAGGAAGAGTTTTTTGAGGTGTGGTCGATATACCCAAAGAAGAGAGGGGTATCACAGAGTATTTCTTAGATTTGTTTGTGTAGAAATTGTAAGGGTCATCCTTGTTTTTATTCTGTCCACAGAGACCCATTCTAATTTTTCGGAATCCTAGGTGGATAATTTCTAGGATATTTAAAAGCAGTGATACAGTCGCTATCGATTGCATGAATAATATGAACACTGTCTTTTCTGTTGGTCTAGATACAAAACAGTCAACTGTATTTGGACATGGAGCTCTCTGGCATTTATAAAGGGGATCTAGATAAAAGCCATAAAGAAGATACTGCCCAATCATAAAACTGACTTCTACTGCAGATCTCGTTAAAATATGTATCACGTAAGTGCAGAGCAAGGAGCCTCTCAGGGGTGCTTTGTTTAGCTTTCTCTGATCCAATTGCCGGAGTTCTCTCTCCAGCCTTTTCCGATTTTCAGTCATTTCTAATTCAGTGCTTTCAAGTTCCATTCTTAGCTGAGCTTTCTTTTTTTGCCTGTCTTTTTCCAGAGTTCTTAGTCTGTATAAGGCGTGACCCATATACACCAAGGAAGGGGAAGACACAAATATAACTTGCAAGACCCAGTATCTTATGAGAGAAATGGGAAAGGCCTCATCATAGCACACGTTTCTGCAACCAGGTTGCTCAGTATTGCATATAAATTCTGATTGTTCATCATTCCAAACATCCTCAGTTGCCACTCCGAGGACAAGCATTCGAAATACGAAGAGGATTGTTAGCCAAATCTTTCCAATAATAGTGGAATGAATGTGAACCTCCTCTAAAATGCCTCCAAGGAAATTCCAGTCTCCCATGGTTATTCTGCCATCTTAACACTACAATGTATGAGAGAAAACAAGATCAGACATTGTAAAAGCTGCAATCCTTCCTCAAAGCATTATGAAAAAAATGGCACTTGGAAAAACTATCGTATCTCACATTGTAACCATGGCAACATGAACCACTGGTCATCGATAATCTAGGTGTTATCCTCTCTCATTTACAAAATAGAGATGCACATTGTCTGCCAGCATTTAATTTATACGTAAAAGACATCCTGATAGGCACATGACTATGAGGTATTAAGCACTCTCTGTCAGGGGAAACTAAGGTGCCTGACTTGTAGCAGGATTTTAAGAGCGTTGTGCAGTCCATTTGAACCTTCACGTGATAGCAGCCTGAGTGCAGTACGTTTATATGTAGGACACTCAGGAAAGTAGAGGAATATTCCCCAGTCATGCTTTTTGGATGATCTGACCCCGACATTGCACCCGAAGTATGGTAATGTCCAAATACTTTTTCACAGCAAAAGTTGGTTACTCAAAGGAACTCAAGAGGGAATAAACCACCTCACTAAAATTGCCTTGTTAAATTTAAAAACATGTTTAAGCATGTAGCTTGTCACAGGCAATTGTTTTTCTTTTGAAGATGTCAATGGTAAACAAATAATGACATCATCATAATCGGTCCAGTTTCCTTTGATCAACTATACCTGCATTTGAAATACATAGTAAAGTGTTGCTATTTTTAGCTCCGATTCTGTGGAAAATGAATTATTTACGCAAAAAATTTCTACAAGCATTTTCCTATATGACTATCATCTGAGTGCAAATAAACGGGCAATTTAAGTGTGTAATTATACATTTTGCCTTTCTTTCCTATTTTTGTTTCTTTCTCTGTCACAGGACACTAGGTTGCAAACAAGATTTTAAATTCCTTTCTTCGTGTTTGTGTTAATGTAGACACTAACAAAAATCTTTTTGTTTTCACATGAGGGAATAACCATCATGTCTGTAGATTTACCTTTTCATCGTATGCACAACGCAATTCAACAGAATTCAGTTATCCTAAAACTGCATGAATCTGTTGGGAGTTTTTTGTTGTTTGTTTGTTTGTATGATACAGGCAATTTAACCCAGTGTTTTCCAATCAAGTAGGATTCATTTTCACCCTGTAAAACAGGAGAAATCAAATCAAATCAAATCAAATGGAAGTTGCAGTCCTACTGCCACAATACTGATGCCTGTAGAGGAAACTATGTTAAGGCAGCCTACTAAACATGAAAGCACTCTTGCAGATCAGTATACAAACAGGCAAGCTAGACATTTTTGTAAAGATAAACAAATTAAAAGTAAATGGCAAATTAAAAATAAAACATACCTTTCTTTGCAAAAACGTGTAAAAGTAAAGGTCTGCTGCATCCGATAAAAAGTTACAACCCCTGCCATCTTCCATGTGTGTGAGTAAATTTTACATTTTAAGTGGTTTATTTTGCTACAGGAGCAAGTGAGGGAGTGCAAGCTTTGCACATTGAATTTATGTTTGCTAGGGATGAGGAGAAAATCAATCCATTGTTCAGTCTGCCTCCACTTCAAGCATAATTTAGCCGTGACTGGTGAAAGAATCTCATTTTAAAAAGCCAGAAATTAAACACCTGCAGCTCTCACTTCCTTCAGAGTATCTTTCTTTCCTTTTTCTGCTCCAGCACCTTCCAGGTTTTAAGAATGATCGCAGCCTTTCTTTTTCTAAAAGAAAACTCTTAGACTAAGTTTTAGTTTACGTATCTCAGTAGAAGCAAACACTCTACTTGTTTGTGCAAAAGTGAAGAAAGTAAATCCTCCCAGATACTATCATTGTACATTTCTGCATACAACCAGGCTGCACCATGCTCCTGATGTAAAAACTAAATGGTAGTTTTTTTAGCCCCTCCGCACTCACTCTCTGGCATCTGTCCTTACATTCTATGATTCTGCACCTCTTGTTTGTTCTTGTTATGCCATTTTACTTGTCCTACTGACTTCTTTAAAACACTCCTCACCACAGCAGCTATTTTACACCATTTTCCATGTCTGTATAATTCAGATTTTGTTTAGGAGCGAGTCATTATCACTCCAGTCTAAGTGTCAGTCATACTAAATATGTCCGTTGTTCTTCTCGATAGCGTACAGCCCGTAAAAAACCAGACCAAGTGACACAAGCCTCCTTTTTATCCCAGCCCTGGAGCTACTCCACCCCGTAACACCAGCAAGAATAGTAATGAGAATGGGCCGACATATTTTTCTGTAAAAAAGAGCACACGAACTGCCTGGTTTCAAATAACAGATTTTTTTTTAGGTGTTTGGGAACAAAAGGGCCACATATATTAGTCAATGTAATTGTTCATGGGCTACAGCCTAATGTTGTTAACTTTTTCTTTTAAATTCTTTCCTTTCCTATTCCTTTCTTTATATCAGATGGATTGTCACAACAGAGTCACCCTGTGACTCGGGGGTGAATAAATGTTTTTTGTTTTTTTTTTCTGCTGAAGAACCTGCTTACTTATCGTAAATGATTCTGTAAATCTACACCGTATACATCCTCCCTGTGTCAGCATGTGGCAGAATAAGAAACGGAACCCACAGTTGCACCTACACTCCACCAGCTTACCGTTCCCTGTGTCTCCCTAGAGGAGGATAAAGATGGAGCCACTGAAACAGAAGGAATACTCCGTATCCTAAATTATCCTTCACTGAGTTTGAAAAATAAAAGGTTAATGTGGAGGAGTAGAAAGTGGAAGAATGCTGGTGGAAGTTCTACGGGCCAAAGGTACATAGATTCACAGAACGGTTCAGGTCGGAAGGGCCCCACGGGCAGAGACATCCTTCGCTTGATTGGGTTGCTCAAAGCCCTGTACAACTTGAGTTTGAATACTTCCAATCATGGGGCATTCATAGTTTCTCCAGCAGCCTGTTCCAGTGTCTCACCACCCTCATTGTAAATAATGTCTTCCTTTGCTTACATAAAGATTCTAAGAGTAAACCCTATCTTTAAAAATTCTGGCCGGCACTTCAGGGTAGAGCACAGCTTGTAAGCTGAGCTGACACACAAAAATTATTTAAGAATGTTTAAAATCTAGTTGAATATCTTATGAGATGATCAGACTGTTACAGTACATTTTGGTGACTGACATTAGGCTAGGAAACATCCTTTCAAGTACCCTGGACTTTAGGAAATGCCTGCAGAAAACGTTGAGAAGCAGAGAAGGAGAGAGACCTCATTTTAGAGAAGGAAAGACAGGGAAAGAAATATCCTCGGTTTGTATACAAATATTGCCACGGAGACAACATTAGCAGTGCAATGGCCAAGGATATTGCCTTGTTAGGCATGCCTAGTATTGATGCGTAACTGCTATGACCAATATGAGTTAAGAAATGCATCTAGCACTATAATGCTCTTTTAGATGATTCTTCTCAGTGCCCTGCAAAAGCTTTATTGCTGACCAAAATGTCCTGGATAGGATAAATAAACTTCCTCTGCTGAGAACTCTAAAAGGCCAATCATTATCTTTTAATTGTGGTGCTGACGATCAGTCAATAGGTCACGTCCGATTATGTAGTTAAATCACAGCTTGCCTGGAAGTATTCAGTCATTTGGCAAGCTATTGGTCAACTGCCAGTCACTTCTATTAAGTACCTAAAGCAGGTTTCTAAACACACATCTCTTCTATCGAGTATTTGAAGTGGGTTTCTACACATTTTTCTGCTATTGGTTAAAAAAAATCTAAGTCCTTTGAAGCAGCCCAAAGAACGTCCCGCTCTAGCTTCTGAAAAGATGTTGAAGTTCGGTTTGAAAATCCTAAGCATTTGATGAGACTGAACTATGGTCGTCGGAATCTACTCGTTTTGTAAAAGGTAACTGTCAAGACAAACATTTAAAAATGTGCACATAGTGTTCTGCGAAGCAATATCTAATTTAAAATTATATTTTGGTCAAATGACACACATACGAGTTGGGAGGGAAAAAGAATTTGGGCACCAATGACAACTTTATAGCATCGATGCTGCTTTTTACCTTGGTCCAGACATTTTGCAGATGTGACTATTTACACAAACTGTCACACTGACCTTCACTGATAATTAACAAAATACTTGGCGACGTAAGGAGAGAATACTTGGCCTTCTTTCAGGTCTAGAAGCTACCTCACTGGCTTTTCATTGGTGGTGTGTAATGACTGTATTACGTTTTCTTAGCTCAGGGACAAATGCCAGAGAAATCATTCAGTCGTGGAAATACTCTCTGAAGACCAATACCTTTTATTCCTGCTCATCAGTAATGTGCACTTTCTGTGTACAATTGATTTTCTACTATATTTGTGTGACTTGCAATGGCCAGCTAGATAACTAGATGCACAAACATCAGTGACATGTCATACAGACTTTCAACCTACAGCCTAACGTGGGCTCATGCCCATAGTTTTCTTTCAGTAGTGAAGAGCACAAATCACAAACTGTAATAATGAAGTATATGTACAACTACACTACTCAATATTGTCTTTAGGACTGCCTAATCCAGCTGTACTGTGTTTGAAGGCAAACCAGAGAATATTGATGGGGGGAGTAGCATCCCGTGAGCTGTGAAGGAGAAATGGTAGAAGAAGCATCCCATGAGAATCAATCTCTCAGGGTCGTTAGGTGGCAGTTGGTACTGTGGTACACAAGATAGGGGGAGTTGTCTAGCACCAGCTGTAAAAGAACAAAGGCTGGCAGGATGGAGGCTGTGTAGTACTTGTAAAAAAACATAAAACAAAAATAATTGACAAGAACGCTAGTGATAAGGGTATCTAACAAGGACCATCTAGCCCCTTGTGAAATTCGAGGACAAGATACCTTATGAAATGTGCTGAGAACAACTAGTTTTGGGCCTAAGGTAAAAAGTTCATTGTGAGGAAGACCTACTGCCTTCATCCCTGAAGACCCCTGCCCAAGACCACCACGAGACACTGCACAAGCATCAAGAGGAGGAGCAGCCAACCACCGGAACTGAGTGCCTTTTTCGG